AAAAAAAAAAAAAAAAAAAAAAAAGGAAAAGAAATGACATGTGTGTTGTCTTGTTTGCTGTGTCGTGACCTATATTAAACCCCAGGAATAACAGACAAATATAACAAAAACACATTCAGGGGTCTTTGGGGTTGATTAAGGGGCGGGGGGGGGGATCGGGGAATATCAGGAAAACCTGAAACTAAAAATAAACTAGCGTTGGATTAATTTTTCGACACTGCCATTTTCTTAAATATATTCGAACAAAATATCTTTACATTTCCAGAAGAAAAGTTTAGAAAATAACGCTAATTAATTATTTTAAAAATAGAAATTTTAAGTTGCCTTTTATTTCTCTTTTAGGAATGGAGCTATTTTTTATTGGAGCTCTTTAAAAATTTAAGATGTATTCGTAGAACAATTTTTTTTTTAAATTTGCGAGTCCACAAATTTAAAGACTTAGGTCTTTGTATGACGCATATCTATTTAAAAAATCTACTCAGCGGTATCGATACCCTATATTGTACTCGTGTTTCATATCTCCAAGTGTGTAAAAAGCAGAACTGTGAAAAAAAATTAAAATGGCTAAGCGTCTAAAAATAACTTCAGGGAATGATCGAATTGAGAACTGGCCAAAATATCGGTTTTTACAAGCATTCAAATTTAACTTTAGAAATAAATGTACAAATATACATTTCTTCGGTCAAATAGATATGGACAGATAAAAACCATTTACATAATTTAAAAAAAAATGTATACAAATTCATAAGTGCGTATAAAAAGGGGGAAAACAAATCTTTGCTTAAATTGGCCTGAAAATAAGTTGGATTTACCGCAAAATCAGATGAAATAGAAGGGAATTATTCCTGGCTTATCTCCGCAGCCAATGACCAACCACGTCATCACACCAGGTCATGGGGTATATAAACCCAGTCACATGACAACGCAAGACAACAGTCATGAGAGTGAGAGTCCAGTTAGGACAGGCAACATGTGTGTGGTTTACAAGGTTGTCATTTTGACTTTCTGTTTTATTATGTTACCCGCAGCGCAGCTTGATGCATCGTAATGAAGAAAATAATGAAGAAGCATTCGTCGATTTTAATTTTTTTGTTTCTTGTATTTCGAAGTTTTATGACTTAAGTACAACGATGATATGTAGCAAGGTATAGAGAGGTATAGAAAGGTATATTTAAAACTTGGTTTATTTTTTATGAAAGTTAAGTTTTGAGTTTTCTGATTATGTTAGCGTTTGTGTCTCTGATAGAGATTGAAAAGAAAAAAAAATGGGAATACTTCACTTGTTTAAATCTGTATAGCTAGACCGTGTGGTGTTGTGGCCATGTGGCCCTCTGGCCGTGTGGTGTTGTGGCCGTGTGGCTCTGTGGCCGTACCTAGTACTAATTATCATGTTGAAAATCGCTTCATTTATAACTGTTTAATTTCAATGCATGATTTTCTATCTTTCTTCCTCTTATCATTACTAGTACATTTGTTTTTCCCCAGATTACCAAGCGAAAACCAATGTAAGATTGTAAAATGTGACCACATAGCTCTAAAAATCGTACTAAGTTTTGACTGGAAGGAGACTATGATCTCAAAAGATTTCATTGAAGGCACTTCTGGACTTTGACCTGTATCTGAGACCAGGATCTCAAAAGATTTCATGAAATAACTTAAGGTCATTTTAGTTTAAAGAAGAACAGAATAACCCAGTGTTTTCTGAGTGTCGCTTTCAAACAACGGAAGCCAGAAAGAAGCACCAGAAATTTGTTGAAACAAGGATCAATTATTTGATGTGACCCAAAAAAATAATGAAAGGAAAGAAAAGGTAAAGTATCAAACTGATCGGGGCAACCAGTCGGGGCAACCTATAGGGGCAACCATTAAAGGCAACAAGTTGCGGCAAACAGGGAAGGGTTTTGTCTCTTTAAAAAAAAAAATAAAGACTTTCTACGCATGAAATAAAATTCCCAAAATTAGAAAGATTTTAAAAATCGTGTTTCAACTTGCAGGTCCCAGGGGATTAGGCACCTAAGACGATCAAACTGTCTTCTTTGAATGTCAATACTGACAGTGTCAGAGCTGAAATGGCCGTGTCACGCTACAGTGGCGTCACTGACATACCAGCTTTGTGGGGGCATCCAACCATGACAAATGTGTTCACGGATAATTGATATATATATATATATATAAATGAATACATACGAGTTTAAAGTTGCACCATATTCATCCAGAAGGGATGGTTGGTGTGTGTGTGGGTGTGTGTGGGGGTGGGGGTGGGCGGGATGGCTGTCATAACCAATCACTGTTACGGTTATATTTTGAATTAGGAGAGAATACCTAGTAGGGACATTATTAAATGTTATTATGAGAATGCAGAGTTGTGAAAATCATATTTTAATTTTTTCTTATAATGCCATACATTCTGTGATGGAATCTGTTCTAAATCACAATAAATTGATATCTTTGTTTTATAGTGTCACTTTGAGGCCAACTCAAGCCCACCCAAACTTCGTATAGCATTGTTTTAAATGATCGTACATTTACTAAAGGGTTCACTTAAAATGGGGTATTAAATCTCATATTATTTGATAAATGTATATATCTTTAAATATATATACATCCATAAATTAAATACGTTTTTTAAAGATACGTTTAAATGTTCAAAACATATGTTTTTTTTAAATATTTTTTTGCTGGTCAATCTATATAATTACATTAAAATAACGTCGATTAAAATTAGAGGAGTTGCGTCGCACTCCTAAGTGACCAAAAGTACGTCACAGTTCTCAGTGACACGGATACGTGAACTAAGCAGTAAGTAAGACGCCTTTCGGTCTTCCAAAAATAGCCCTCCGCGGCCGTTGGCGGGAAGAAATCAATACCTAAGGTCGTCTGCTGTTGTTAGTAATCTGTACCTCGCCGCTTGGTGGCGCTGGAAGGGGGATTTTTTTTCATTGGTTGTCCTAACGTGTCTAAAGGGTTTTCCTGCTCGACACTCTCTTTCAAACAGCGGTTTGATTCAAACATCTGATCACACGTTTCGCAAAATGACGTGGATCAAAGTCACGGGACACGTACATTCTGGAATCATTTTGAACTTTTCCCCCCAAAACATGTTGAGGAATGTCTGCCACAGAAAATGGAGAAAAGAAAAAAAACACGTCAATTTGCAAAAATTTCCGAAACTTTTAAAATAAACTCAGCTCAGCTAGACCACGTAATGGACCTCAAGGCCACGTCACAAAAGAGGAGGTGGGGGTGGGGGCTGGGGGATTTTGGTCACTTTTGTTTAATAAAGTTCACAGTTTCAGTTTGCATAAATATTTTTTGGTGGAACACGTAATGAGGAACACGCAATGAGGAACACGTGATCAGGATCATGTGATGAGGATCATGACGTGGCTTTCCGGGAGGAGTGGAAAATTTTTGGGCGCCATAAAGACCAAATATTTTTTTTTTTAAATTGTATAGGTTTGACTGTGGTTTAAGGTCAAGGTCTTGGACTTTTTTTTTTTCATGTCCACCCACGTCATCAAACTGACGTGTTTGTGGAATTTTTTTTTTTTTGGTTTTCATAAAATGTTAAAAAGATCCTTTACATAGGGATAAGGTTTTGTCATAATTTTGTTCTGTAAAGTTTTGGTATTCAGGAGGTCAAGGCCGTCCCAAGTAAAGGAACTTAAATGACATTGGAAAATTATTTTTTTTGTATGTTAGGATATTTTATATATCATGCAAATCTTAAGTTTGGCCCACATGTTTAGGCCCATAACAGTGTTACCTTTAGGTTACAAGTACGAATGCCTTTGGGGGAAAAGAAAATTTACCCAAAAGTAATTTTTTGAGACTTGTTGATTTTTTGAATTACCAGGTTACTGTTTCAAGAATTGGGGAAAAATGTTTGATTTAGGGCCACCTTAGCAGAGCCTCAACGCTTCGGGAGGTTAAAGGTGAACTTTATGTGGTGTTTGTGTATGTTTGTATGGGGTTAAGTGGAATTTACAATATCATGTAAAGAATAATTTGTGTTGAAATATTCATATTACAGAATTAAAAATATCCACACAAAATTTCTTTACATACACAGGTGATTTTCTAAAGTATTTCAAGGTTTTCCCATAATGAATTATATTTTCTAAAATGTAGTATAGAAACAAAAATAGATTTTAACAGGAATTAAAAAAACAACAAACCCAGCTGTTACAATTGTATATAATATTAAAACAACACAAACATAACATTGTACATACATTAAAGATGTTATTGAAATGTTACAAAAATGCTATAACTTATAAAATAAACCATTTTACAAAGACCGTACTCTCTGGCTGGTGGGAAACGAAATTTTTCCTCTGTACTCGAGCGTGGTGTATCGCTCTTAGCATAGCGAGGTGCACGGATCGATACTTGGCTTAACGAAACTGCTAGGTAGGCCCGATCTCTTACGTGGCGCGCATGAATCTCATTACATATTGGGGGGAAATTCTCGTCTGCAAAAATGAACATTACGTGTATTTTGAAAAATGACAAAATTGGGGTCTGTCCTAAAGTTTGAACACGTCATGTCATTGGGTATATAAGACCATATTATTTCATGTTATATTTACAATTTTCTAGGCTCTACTTAATCAGTCTGCAAAATTTATTTTTAAAAACATTTAAAAAAAACAACAAAAAATTTGAAAAAAGCCTATTTATTTTTAGAACCGAAAAAAATCCGGTAAGTTATGTTCAATTAATATATATATATTTGTTCTATTCAGATCAAATTTTTTTTTAATAATATAAAAAATAGTACGCAATTGTTATGTTAACCATGCAAGATTACGTTTTTATTAGTATAACTCAATTATAATAATTACCTTAAATAAATAGATTTATAAAAGTTTTAAAATATTATCATCATATCACATGATTTTTTATTTATATTTACATAACTTTATCAGTGCATTTTGTCTTATATATATATATAATATATATATATATATATATATATATATATACACATATATGTATATATATGCATGTGTGTGTGAGTGTGTGTGTGTAATTGTGCATATTTTTGTGTGTGTGTGTCTCTGTGTTAACTTTCCAGCAACTGCACACACCTTCCTGTGTCTGTATACCAAGTTGTCAATAAAATGCTTCCCTGTGCTCTATGAGGCGAGCTCACTTAACTTGCTGACTTTTATAAAAGTCACTAGAATTTGACCCAAAATTTATTTTTACCCGTGCAGTCTCCAAACTATGGCCAAATCCGACAAGACTTTAGTTGATCTGAAAAGAATTACCGACGAGTGGAAGAATTCTGAAACTGTCAAAGGTGAGAAAGATCTACGAAAAGATATGTGAAAAGATCTGTAGAAATATCTGTAAGATCTGTAAAAATAACTGTAAATAAGTAACGAAATGCCTGAAAAATTATACAAAGAAATATCTCTAAAACGATATGCAAAATTAACTGTGGAAAGATCTATAGAATAAAAATATGTAAAAAGATCTATAGAATTGTCTGTGAAAAGATCTAAAGAAGTATCTGTAAAAAGATCTATAGAGTTTACGACCTAAATCTGGTGTTCTCCTAATTATAAATGGTTTTAATCATCATAAAATAATGATCTCATCTGAGATTGGGAGAAAACTACAGGAAAAGTTTATGTATAAATATTTATGAATTCAACATAAGCATACAACTTTCAAACTAAAAATTTAATAAATTAATAAATATTTTGAAAAACAACATACAACTGACCACTCATATGTTGTTTTGACCAAGTCTAGCTATACATCAGAGCACATAGACATACACTTGGAATATGTTACACAGGAGACAAAATCAATAAGAATGTGACTTATAGTAGTGCTGTGTTTACAATGTACAGGTCAAGCTCATTTCAAAAACATCAAACTGACCCTCACCGACGTCCAGTGGACCGAGGTCAAGTGTCTGACGGACCTGGAGAGGGCCCAAACACCGAAGGTATAATATGCTATTTTTGACCTCTCTTTTTTTTTTCAAAATTAGTCTGAGATTTGTAAAGTCATTATGACCTAAGGTGGAAGAGACTTAATGATCTAATTAGGAAAAGCAATCATGACCTAGAGACAAAAAATCGTCATGGCCTAAGGAGGAAAAGTAATTATGACCTGAGAAGGAAGAGCTTCCTGGGGACGATGTATATATTTTTTTATCATTTCTGTTTTCATTATGTCTACAGTTTAGATGAGATTTTTACTTTTGTGTAACTCTTACATTTTTTGGATATTTATCACCTTTAAGTAAATCATTTGGCCATAGAATTGAGCGATGTCCCCTCTTTATCTATTTGCCATAGAAATGAAGCATGTCTCATGTTTATCTCTCAGCCAAAGAATTGAGGCATTTCCCATGTTAATCTCTTAGCCATAGAATCGAAGAACTTCCCATGTTTATCTAATAGCGCCAGAAATGAAGCATTTCTCATGTTTATTTCAAAGCCTTATAGTTGAAGCATTTCCCATGTTTATCTAAAGGCCTTAGAATTGAAACATTTCCCCTGTTTATCTCATAGCCATATAATTGAAGATTTCCCATGTTTATCTAAAAGCCTTAGAATTGAAACATTTCCCATGTTTATCTCATAGCCTTAGAATTGAAACATTTGCCCTGTTTATCTCATAGCATTAAAATTGAAAATTTCCCATGTTTATCTCATAGCCTTAGAATTGAAACATTTCCAATGTTTATCTCATAGCCATAGAATTGAAGCATTTCCCATGTTTATCTCATAGCCATAAAAGTGAAGCATTTCCCATGTTTATCTCATAGCCTTAGAATTGAAGCATTTCCAATGTTTATCTCATAGCCATAGAATTGAAGCATTTCCCATGTTCACCCCCATCATCTTCTCTTAGGCTGCTGCCCAAAATACCAGCTATCAAAGACAGCACTTCGACAAGGTCAAGGCCAAAATGGCCAATCAAGTCGGAACACATGTGACCATCACCTCAGGTGTTGTTAAAGGTGAGTTTGGTCAATGTGTGCTCTAATGTAGTTGTGTGATGTGTTGTGATATTTGAGTGTTGTGATATGAAATGAATGGTTTGTAATATGTGGTCAGTTGTCTGTTGTGTTGTAAAATATCAGCTTGGTGTTGTCTTTCGAAAGTAGTTTCTGGTGTGAATTTGAAGTTTAATATATTGATGAGTTTTGTTGATATTGTACCGTTAAGCTATCGGCTACTCACTGTATGTGAAACCTAACGTTTTAGCACCTCAGCTTGTTCCCTGTCTGTTGAAAGTCAGTGTCCTAACTTTGTTATTGTGTTCCCTGTCTATTGAAAGGTCTGCTTCATAATGTTGCCATTTTATTCACCTGACTATTGAAGGTCTATGTCATAAAATCTGCCATGTTGTTCCCTGTCTTTTGAAGGTCTGTGTAATAACTTTGCCATTCCGTTGTCTGGACTGCCCAAGCCTGTTAATGACGTCATTGGGTCTGCAGTGGAGGTTGATGTGGGGACTGCTGAGATAGGCTCAGATCAGACGATGGAGGCGTTTATTAAAAGTTCCCCAAAAAAGGACCAAATGGCTGGAAACTCACCCCAGTCGTCTGCTGGAGCTTCGGGATCTTTTTACACTGGTTAGTTCCAATTTGTAAGCTTTAAAAAAAAACAATTATTGTCATATATTTTCAGAACACTTTATGTATGGTCTCTGTGGACCCCTTAGGCATGGTATCTCTGAACACTACTTAAATAGTCTTTGTGATTACCTCTATCAAATCTGTGTCAGATGTTCCCAACCGTGTGGGCCTTGAAGATATGAAATGCGGTGTCAGAATCACAAACAGTCTTATCCTTCAAAAGTCTTGCCCAAAAAACATGTGTCAATAGGACAGTTTACATTGCAAAATATTTTAAAGTTTTTAAATACTGTACTTTTAAAAAACATGCTTGCAATTTTTTAATGTTAAAAATATTCCCCACGCCAGATTTTTGCTTTTAAATTGCAAATGCATTAAAAATATACTACTTAAAAATGCTAACATTGTATTACTTTTTGATGTAGGTACTTTTTCCGGGGAAGCTCGACTCCGAGGAGAAGTTATTGTTGAAGACAACAAAAGTGTTGAGCAGTGCTCCATTGCCGAGGTGGTCAGATGTTTGAAGGGGAAGTCAAAACACGTTGAAAATCTGAGTGCTTCTGAAGACTTCACAGTTCGGTGGAGTATTAGAGGAGAGTGTGTCTTTCACCTGGGTACATAAGGAGACATGAGAGTACAATGTCTTTCACCTGGGAAAAATATGCTGATTTAAAATCCAATGATTAAATTATGGGTTAAAAAATATGATTGGATTTCGTAAATTTTAGTGTAGCTGAAAAAAAAATATTATTTTCTTTCATGGATCAATGAATTATTTAGATTTGATTGCTGTAATGATTTGACTGCTCTAATGATTTGACCTCTGTAATGATTTGCCTGCTGTAATGATTTGAGTGATGTAATGATTGGAGTCATTTCAATGTAGAAATCAATTTAAATTTTAGGTATACTTGGGAACAAGTTGACATTATTAGTCTCTTAAAATGTGTGAATTGTTAATAATACTGTAACTAAATAATTGTTATGCACAAGAAGACTAGTCAGTAACTAATAAAACGCTCTGACTGAAAAAATACTCCAAAACACATTTCAATTTTGCCCTTTGTTGCATGCTGCTAAATTTTGTTTCTTGAATAAAAAAATAATATGAATAATTTGATTTGTGGTGAAGCTGAGAATAATGTGTAAAATTTAATATAAACCAACTTTTTATTTGAATTTTGTAAATATGTATATTATAACGAATAAAATTGCTTGCTTGCAATGCATACACAATAGCCCTATATGATGATACTTATGGCCATATTTTATGAAAAACAATTATTAAAATTTAATTATTAAATATTGATGTTATATGTTGTCTTAAGTAACAATTGAATTCATATTTGTCATGAAAAACGCTACCAAATTCAATAAAAGTGAACATATTAAATCTATAAAATTTGCATTTGATTTATTTCACATACATGTAGATTGCTATTTGTCTTTTTTTTTAAAACTATCTATTGCCTATTAAAAGGTCTTGTAGTGGGCATGCAAAATCGAATGAAAAAATATATAATTAAACAATTTTAAAAAAAGAAAGATTTGTCTTTAGAAGAGCTGTCAAAGAGTTAATCAAAATCCATTAAAGTATGAATTAAAACTATTTCAGAAAAGCAACAAAAATATCCAGAATAACTGTACGTCTCGGTGTGTCATTGTTGTTGCTGTGGTTTTTTGTTGGTGGCATTTTGTCATTGGTGATGGTGTTTTGGGGGTGGTGTAGACCATTGCGATAAAAACATGGTAAAGTGTTCATGGTTGACTTCTCTTTCAATTAGTCAGCGTTTGGCCGAATCTTCTATTTCTATATTTTCACTGCTTTCTCTGATAACTAAACCATTTAAGTTTACAATTGATCTGATATATACCAAAAGATCAATATTATTTGGTAAAAGGTCAAGAAGTTGTCGATAAATTCCCTGGAATGTACACTGGCAGAAATGGGATGACCAAATTTTTCCCCAAAGTGTTTTCCCCATTTTTAAATAAAGATGTAGGGGCGACCACTGGTTTTCCCACAACTATATATAAAGAACTCACAAAATGGTGCATCTCCAATCTATATTCTAAGTTTATGAAGTAGTTTTGAAACAAAAATGTCTCTTAAAAGCATATATGGCCATGTTTGTTGCAATTTCTACCCAAAAAACCATGTCTGGCGCTATTAAGTTATCCACAAAGTTTTTAAAGAGATTATTGGCGCAAAAATCACCAGTTTTCGATAAATAATGCAAAAATCGACAATAAGCCAAAATCCATGCTGATAAAAAGCTTCCAAAAAAGTCCCTAAAGTTAAATTAAATGCTTAAAAATACTACACGAAAAATTCCCAATCAATCTCATGCACATTCCCATCTGAAAAAAACAACAAAAAAAACACAACATTTTTTACCAAGATCGTTCCGTTTCTTCATGACGTGGTTTGAAATTTTAAAAACAAAATATTCTAGAAGAATATAAAAATAACCAAATGTGTATTTCCATTAAATGGCCAATGAAATCAAATCGCCCACGTGATCTAAGGCTTCGAGTATATAAGTCTTTGATTCTCTTAGATACTATATTCAAAATTTCAAAAAAGAGGTTTTTAACGCAGCTGTTACTTTGCTAAATACATATCGGACTGTTTCTGTTAAAGTATTTCTTTACAAAGTAGAAGGTAGGTCTTCCATGGAGCAGATCAACGCCATTTTCATAACTTTAAAAAAAAAATTTGTTTGTGGATATATTCATTTTTGTTTAAAAGCCTGAGGTCATTCTGAAATATGCAACAACAACAATAGAAAAATAAATTTTTTTTTTTTTTTTATAAATTTAAAAAAAAAAAGATTTCAGAATCGAGAAAACAAAGCAAAAACTCCTAGCGCTATTCGAATTTTGTGGATATATTCATTTTTGTTTAAAAGCCTGAGGTCATTCTGAAATATGCAACAACAACAATAGAAAAATAAATTTTTTTTTTTTTTTTATAAATTTAAAAAAAAAAAAGATTTCAGAATCGAGAAAACAAAGCAAAGACTCCTAGCGCTATTCGAATGTATATCACTTGATGAAAAAGTTGAAATTATGAACATACAATTTGCTGGCTTCAAGGTTTCACACCATTTCAGGCAGCTATAAGAGTTTTAAATTTGATTTGCTTAGATTGAAAGACGTTCGTCTCACACTGGTGTGTAAAATATATTTCTAAAACAGTTCAGTGCAATAATTCTCACTGTACTGCATCATTCAAAAGGTTTCAAATGCATTGAATAATGTTACAAAATTCATCCCAATTTAAAAAAAAATAAAAAAAATTTTAAATATATAAAACTACAACAAGATGTAACCATTAAAAAATGTATTTTTGTTAATGTTCCTTTCCTTTTTTTAAATTTAAAAGTTTTTCAGAATAATTATGAAATAAAAATAAGTATATAGATATATATATAATTTTTTTTTTAAATGTAGCTTTTAAAAAGAATCTATTTCCCAGTTTTCCTGGATTCTTCTAGGAAAATGATAGTTGACGTCAGGCAAGCGATACAGGAATATAAAAGGGAGCATGGATTAAAAGGTACGTTTATATGTGAACGTTTCACTAAACTAGATTTAACTCTAATGTATTTTTTCTTCCAAAACTAACCTGCTAGAGCAATGGATTTTAAAGTTGACCCTCATAAGGGCGCAAATAACAGTCCATGAGTCATTAAGAAAAGTCTAATGGGCACTAATAACAGTTCAAGAGGCACTAAGAACAGTCTAACGGGCACTAAGAATAGTCTAAAGAGTTCTAAGAATTGTCTAAGGGGCACTAAAAACAGTTTAAGGGGCACTAAGAACAGTCTAAGAAGAGATAAGAACAGTCTAAAGTGCACTTAAATCAGCCCACGAGCCACTAAGAACAGTCTAAGAGGCAGCCTAAGGAGAATTAAGAAAATTCTAGTGGCACCAAGAACAGGCTAAGTGGCAGTAAGAACGATATATATGGTACTAAGAACAGTCTCAGGGTCTAAATGGTACTAAGACCAATCCAAGTGGCACTAAGAACATTTTAAGAAGCATTAAGAAAAGTCTAAAAAGAATTAAGAACCTTCTAAACTGCACTAAGAACAAGCCTAAGGATTGCTATGAACACCCAAAGGCTGGCGCTGAGGAAGTTCATCAATAAAAAGTTCATACGCTTACAATTTTAAAAACACTATTTTGATTGTCTTTGTTTAAAAACAAGCCCAGTGTAAGCATTACTGATATAATTTCTGGAAAGGACCCTTGAGATGTCAAATTATAAGACGTGGCCTGTAACAACAATACATGACAGATGAATGAGGTGCATTGAACAGACAATGCTTGGAATTGAGCTCAAGGTGGAGTCATCCACTGATTTTTACAACAACAAAAAACTTTCAAGAGATGCAGATATATTTTTAAAAAAGAAAGATTTTATTTCTCTCCTACCCATTTTTAACTCTATTTTAATCATTGTCGTGCCTTAAGGATGTCGTATCCATGGATCACGTTAACCAGTTCACTGCCGATTTTGTTAAAGTAAAAGGGACATATGTATTTAATTATGTTAAATCATATACTACTCTTTTTGAGTTTAATTGCATATGTGGTCATATACAATTTTATGCTAAATAATGCTTGCAACTAAATTGACTTATGGGGGGGGGGGCGGGAAAAGGGGGCGGGGGGGGGGGTGGGGTTCGTCAGAATGACTGTATGGCTTTACGTGTGAGTTGGCCGATAACAGTTTGAGAACCTTTGTTCTTGATCTGACGGTCCAGGCCCCCACACCACTGTATGTTTTAGCTGGACTCCTCCGCCAGCTAGAATTAGGTTAGTATTACTTTTACAAAGGTTGACTTCTAGAAGACGATGCAGCTGAAAAAATCTCCTCCACCTACGAGTTGATACACAAAAACACTATATCCATACTTTATCTCAGAGGCGCAGCTAGAGTGTTTGGCACCCCGAGGGGAAAAGATTCATTTTAAAGAGCCTCCCCTTTTTTTCTTTTAACTCTCAAACCCATTATTTTTTATCAATGAAAAAATATCAAATGACATTTTGGGGCCTCTAACTAGTTTGGCGCCCAGGGACATATGTGCCCCCCATCTACGTCTCTTCTTTATCTAACACACAAATTTAGCATAATGATTCACAAACTAGATTAAGATTCTAACTTTTGAATCCTCTATTGTCAAAAATGTTAATGCAAGTAAATACAACTCAATGCAAATAAATGCGCCCTTTCAACTAAAATAGTCAAAATTAGAGTATATTCTTAAACTTGCAAGGATCTAGCCTTAATTAAATTTGTTTATTAACGATTGATCAATGAGGACCTAATCTTTCAATAATTATAATTCATTTTTGTTATTAATGCCACTCATTCGTGAAAATGATAATGTGACATTAATTGAGGACTTGTATTTTGTGACTTTTTATAAATATTTAATTTATACTTTTTTAATTTGTCTTTTTGTTGTACTGATGAAGGCAAGTGCCGAAACGTATACTTTTGTATTCTGTAAAATTATTGTTAAAGCTTAACTTATATTGTTCTATAGATACAAATTATTGTTCGTGTCTAATTAATCTGTGTCTTTTATAAAGCTCGAAATACAGCAGTGCCTTCCCCCAAATGGACCCAACGTAATTTAATTGCTCTCACATGTCTATCGATTCCCAGGTCCTGTAAATAAGAACAATGTAGTACTCTCAAACCGTAAAGTGGAGTGGTCTTCATTGCAAAAGGAGGTATGAAAAGAAAAAAAAAGTTTTAATGCTAAATGTTGTCGAAAGCAGTGCTGCGAAATCACAATCGTATTTCTGTTATCTTTCAAATGTTTTTCTTAGAGACGTGGATTTAATTTTTTTTAAATTATTGTATTTTGAATTATTGTATATGTCGACTAAAATGAACAGATCAAATTTTTTAATGCAGTGGTCACAAAACCGATTTGTGACAGTGGGCCCCAAAAGTAAAGCGACGCCTCTGGCCGGAAGTAAATATTTGCGGCCGGAGAAGGGGTTACAGTATTTTATTTGTTTGTTTTTTTGGGGGGAGAAGGTAAGATGTTAAAAGGACAGATATGTGGTGCAATTCTGCCACACTGGCATTTTCTCTTTTTCAAACAGTGTTTGCAAAGGCCATCATGATTTGTAAGTATATTTTGTAATTTGTTCTTACATCAAATTCTGCAATTAAGGCTCCTTTCTATTCTTTCACGTCTGTGCATTTTTATATTTTTTTTTACATTTTTAACTCCTGAGGAAAATACTATTCTCTTTTTGCAGCTATCATCGTAAGTGCCGAAAAAAATAATATTTTTAACGTATTCATTTCAATACGTTATGCCTTAGTTTAAGCAGCCACCATTGGTGTTTTTTTTTCCCTCCCATGGTTTATGCTGATAGCTTGAAAAATACCAGTCTCAACTCAGAAAACCTATTCATAAAAATCAATGGTCAGATTGCGATTGGCCCTGAATTCTTATGTTGTGATCTATCCACGCTATCATTGTCCTGTGCGATGGCAAACAAGACTGATGGAGTGTGTTCTTTGTCATAATAACCATTAAGAATCCGTGGGCTCAGCCGAAGACATCCATCCCAAATACACTGTCAAGCGCTGAAGGTAGCTTGGTGCTTATAGGGAGTACATTTTGGTGTCCGCCGTAACCAACAAAGGAATTTGGTGAGATTTTCTCTCTGTGAGTTGGTCATTACTTGTATTTCCCTTTCAGGATGATGATGATTATTCTTCGGTTGAAAACGAAGAGTGTGACTTTTCTACGAAGATTGGTACTGAGGTGGAAATTACCTCTGGGAGGCTGATAGGTAACGTGTTTGGGTAATGGTAGTGGTTATTGGTGGGTGGGGGTTACATACCAAATGTGTGCTTCGTCGCGCTTATCAGAAGTGATCACTAAAAAAAAAATGAAAAAAAACGCAAATGTCTTTTTTAAATGTTGATTTGGGCTTATGACCAGGAGTCAAATAGAAGCTGATCAAAGTGATGTATCTAGAAAATATAAAACAAAGTCAATAACTAGATTAGCATCAATAGGAGCCAGAATGATCAATACATCGACCGTGGTCCCTCAACATAAAGAAGTCGAAGAAGTTCATCATATTATTCATATCTGAAGGCCCACGATCAATTTATTGATCTTATTGGCTCCCGTTTTAAATTCAGATTTTGCCTTCTCTTAGATGAGTTGCCATCCACCCGGGGTGCCTGGAATGTTGGCTTTGGAGTGAGCTTCATATATCCAGCAAAAGGATTAATATTAAAAGTCATTCTTCACTCTTTATCCGCCATTGCGACATTCAGAGTCAAGGAAATGTGCTGCATCCAATTTCAAAGCCTTCCTACTTCAAATAATCTGAAGCAAGAAAACTAAAGTAGCACATAACACACAGAAAAATTATGAAGAAAATAAAAAAATGTAATAATAATATATATTTTTTTATTTACGGCAAACCTTCATTTTTGGCTACCTTTTAAATCACTTTTTTAAGAAGTTTGAGTTTTTTTTTACTGTATTCTCGAAGAAGATATTTGACCAAAGAATAGAGAGTCTATAAATTAACGTTTCATTTAACAGGCCTTCCCAAATTTTTGCCACTGTCGCTTGACGGCCTACAGCAGTTCGTCATTGATTTGATCAAAAAACCTATTGTGATTGAACTGAAAAAAGAAAAAGATGCTAACATGGATGATATCACGTTTACAGAGGATGAAATAGACCTCTTTAAAGTTTATTCTGGTAAGCAAACTTTATTTTATTTCGATAGGTGTTAAACGACAGTGTCAATGAAAAGTAGAACTTAAATCAATAACCGGTGAATATACAGTCCCATGTCTGTCTCACAGCAAGGCTAGACTAAAATTTATTAAGGGATAAAACATTTGTCAAATTAATTTATTAATGCTGTCGGGAGCCTTTAATTTCTAATACTTTTTTTTGAGCCATAACCTTTCTCACTCGTGTTGCAACAATCTAACGTCAAATTGGAGATGGCGTCCGAGGGTCGTTGAGCTAGAGCTCATAATAGCCCCCCCCCCCCTTCCCGGCACACCTCCACACGGGCCAGACGCTGGGTCTCCCCGTCGCCAGTTTTTTTGAGCCATAACCTTGCTCACTCGTGTTGCAACAATATAACGACAAATTGGAGATGGCGTCCGAGGGTCGTTGAGCTAGAGCTCATAATAGCCCCCCCCCCTTCCCGGCACACCTCCACACGGGCCAGACGCTGGGTCTCCCCGTCGCCAGACGGTGTTGCAGCATGTCGGGAATCTCCCCCCCCCTGACCTGGGAGACGTCCGGTCGACTGAAAACGTTGCGTTTATAACGTCCACGGTCCACTCTTCTTGGGTCTTGGCTGCTTTGCTTCCTCTCCGGTGGAAGGCGTTGCATCACCTCCCCCCACCGTCCAAGGAGCTGTTCGGTCGGGACGAGAGCTGGGACAAAACGGTCGCCTAGGAGCGGCTTTCTCAGCGCCGCGTAGTTAAAATCATCGGCAAGGATTTTAACCGCCGCCCAGGTCTCATAGCCATTAACGGCAACAAGTCATCATGCTTACTTCCGTTGCGTTGGGAGTCATGCGAGGTTGCCGGGTTTTTTTTTTGCTTTGGCATGGAACCTCCCTACTAGTCAGGCACGCCGCGAAGAAGCAAACCCAAATGTGACACCTCCAAGTTGCCTCGGTGGTGCGGGACGCCGACTTAGAGGCGTTCAGTCTTCCTCCTCCCTGGCAACAATCTAACAGACAACTCGTGTTGCAACAATCCGGTAACAGACAACTCGTGTTGCAACAATCCGGTAACAGACAACTCGTGTTGCAACAATCCGGTAACAGACAACTCGTGTTGCAACAATCCGGTAACAGACAACTCGTGTTGCAACAATCCGGTAACAGACAACTCGTGTTGCAACAATCCGGTAACAGACAACTCGTGTTGCAACAATCCGGTAACAGACAACTCGTGTTGCAACAATCCGGTAACAGACAACTCGTGTTGCAACAATCCGGTAACAGACAACTCGTGTTGCAACAATCCGGTAACAGACAACTCGTGTTGCAACAATCCGGTAACAGACAACTCGTGTTGCAACAATCCGGTAACAGACAACTCGTGTTGCAACAATCCGGTAACAGACAACTCGTGTTGCAGCAATCATGCTAGAGACAACTCTTCGATGGCTTGAGACTTTGATCTTTATGTTTCTGCTAACTTGATTCACCCCACCCCTTGCACTACCCAGGTCGACACTCTCCACTATAAATGTGTTTAAACAAAGCTTAAGAGTAGGTATATTCATAACTTTGGCAGTACAGTGGATTCTGAATTTCGTTTTTAGATAGCCATGTATACCATAATTAAAGGGAAACAAATTGAAAAGGTCAAATGAACATGGCAACATTTGTATTTTCTGAAATCTCAGTTAACTGATGTATTAGTTTTAGTTGAATGAGATTAGATCAATGATACTAATAACATCTTATTTTCAGTTAATCCAATGAGTTTTAGTTATTTTATCAAATTCATGCTATCCTAAAAATTGATATAAGAACTGTAATGTGTGTAGGCTATGTAAGGTGTGTAGCATATGTAAGGTGTGTAGCATATGTAAGGTGTGTAAGGTTTATAAGGTGTGTAAGGTATGTAAGGTGTATTAGGTATGTAAGGTATGTAGGGTATTAATGTGTGTAAGGTATGTAAGGTATGTAAGGTGTATTAGGTTATGTAAGGTGTGTAAGGTGTGTAGGGTATGTAAGGTGTGTATGGTATCTAAGGAGTGTAGAGTATGTAAGGTGTAAGGTGTGTATGATGTGTAGGATATGTCAGTTGTTTAAAGTATGTAAGGTGTTTAAGGTATCTAAGGTGTGTAGAGTATGTAAGGTGTGTAAGGTATGTAAGCTGTGTAAGGTATGTAAGGTGTTTAAGGTATGTAAGGTGTGTAGAGTATGTAACGTATGTAAGGTGTTTAAGTTATGTAAGGTCTGTAAAAGTCAAAAGCGTCACAGTTCCAAGTTAAACTTGCATTAAGACAACCGAATTCGCAACTGTGCTTGGCAAACTAATCTCTTGATACGCACCTGAACAACAGTTTATCGTTTAACCCTCTTAGGAAGTCAAATTATCCTTTAAGCCAAGCGGTAATCTTCCTATGTCCGTGTAAGCTCAAGGACCCAAGATCGAAATAAGTGAGCTGTACTATGGACAGGACATAAATAAAATAGCTTTTTCGTTGACCTTCAGATACGACCTTACCCGACATAGGGTGAGGGTGTCTCAAAATTATTTGGCGATCACTGGTCTAAAATTGCAAAGTCTAAAATAAGAGCGCGCAACAAGTGTGCCGCAGAACACCAGTGTGCCGCACGCTGCTGCCAGGTGTGCCGCAGCATTAGGATCTCCAAAATCAAAATGAATTTTTTGAGATATGGAATGATAGGACGCTAAAATGATACGTCATGTACATCATGCTTGATAAATGGATAATTAAACATGGTTGCTTCAACAGGTGTTCAACAGTTCCCTATGTCTTTCATGTTATTACTCGTGGCGTGCCTCGAAATTATGGGGTTTGCTTAGGTGTGCCGTGAGAGAAAAAATGTGGTGTAGAGCACTCAAGGTCTAAACTTCGAATTTGACACATTTAAAAAAAAAATTAGAACAATAATTGAATTGTGCATTTTTTCATTTTTCGATTAGCCACATTCAAATGCCAGGTAAAGTTGAAAGGAGATGTAATCTTCAAAACTTCAACCTGTTTCGGGGTGTATCAGAGTTGTCTCGAAGTTCCTATAAGTGATATTATAGGGAAAACATCCTGGACTGTGGAGGGAAAATGCACATTCCATCTTAGACTGAACGATAGACAGTGATGGGATAGCATGACATCTTGGATGACTCCTTTAAGATAAATGAATTTGTTTTTTTAAATCATTCAGTCGTTTAAAATTGCATTTTAATTTAATGTTTTATTACTGCTATTGTCTATTATAAATATAATGCCTTTCTAAACCTAGAGTAAGAACACATATCAGTATATAACATATACATATATAATTAAATTGTATTTTTTTTTAAGTTATTTAATTTAACTTAGTAAGAAAGTGAGTTGAATTCTACACTGCCTTTTAACGTTAACTATATATGTACACAACTGAACAATTCTTTCTAGATATCCAACGTATTTGCATTATTGTTGCATTATTGTTGCATTATTGTTGCATTATTGTTGTATTATTGTTGCATTATTGTTGTATTATTGTTGCATTATCGTTGCATTATTGTTGCATTATTGTTGCATTATTGTTGCATTATTGTTGCATTATTGTTGCATTATTGTTGTATTATTGTTGTATTATTGTTGCATTATTGTTGTATTATTGTTGCATTATCGTTGCATTGTTGTTGCATTATTGTTGCATTATTGTTGAATTATTGTTGCATTATTGTTGCATTATTGATGTTTTATTGTTGTATTATTGTTGTCTTATTTTTGTAGTATTGTGGTCTTATTGTTGTATTATTGTGGTAGTATTGTTGTCTTATTGCTGTCTTATTGAAGTAGTATTGTTGTTTTATTGTTGTAGCATTGTTGTCTTATTGTTGTCTTATTGTTGTCTAATTGTTGTAATATTGTCTTATTGTTGTCTTATTGTTGTAGCATTGTTGTCTTATTGTTGTCTTATTGTTGTCTTATTGTTGTCTTATTGTTGTCTTATTGTTGTCTTATTGTTGTCTTATTGTTGTCTTTTTGTTGTATTAGTGTTGTCTTATTGTTGTCTTATTGTTGTCTTATTGTTGTATTATCGTTGTAGTATTGCATAAATGAAAGTGTACATCAATGTCTATTAATATAAATGTATGGGTTTTTGTTTGTTTGTTTTTTTGTTAAGGGAGGGGATGGTGTAGTATTATGACACTTATAGATCCAGGGGCGTAGGGACTTCGTCCCATCGTGTGAGCATACATTGCTATTTCAGACGACCATTCCAATAAACCATTTATATCTTCATGTTCGGAAATAACTGATATACCTAGCCCAATGTTTGTTATTGAGTGACACGATAAATAGAAATTTATGAAGCTTTGCTTTTAATGTTTGTGATATTTAAAACTATTTCTCAATTTAAAAAGACCCATAAAGATATTTAGAAACATGTCTATCACATGATATGCATATTCTACAACAATCAGCTGTTTGAAATGAAATGGCGTTAAGTTAAGTTTATGTCCACACTTAAATTATTTAATCCTCACGTGAGTGTTTAAACACTGTGTTGCTTTGCTTTTTGATTATACAATAAAATTTTTGATTTCCCCCCAAAATGCTATGTTTGAATTTGTATCAATTTTGACTGATGTTGTATGTGAGAGGATTTCAACATGGTACATAATAAAAAGTCTTCAAGTTGCAGTTTTAAAATATTGAGCCCAACAACATCTCAAAGCCATTTATCTCATGCGTATTTATTTAGCACTACCGTTGTTTTCAAATCTGTAGCACACTTGGATTTTTTTACTCTCATAAAAATTTACCCACCATTTTTCACGCCCTTGAAATGAGTATAGAAAAAATGATTCAATGAAACATCCGTGTATTACACAACAATTTTAAACTAACGATTTATTCACGAATATTCATGTCTGTAACATTCTAGGGTTTTAAAATTGTAAACTTAATGTTTCGGGGGAAAAATAAAAAAAGCTTGCAACACTTTGTTGTTGGTTTTTTTTTTTTAAATCTATAAATCCCTAATTTCTGGTCTGCAAAAACAGCAGACCTAAACATTTGGTTGTGTGCAGAAGAAGACAAAGAAGTCTATTGAAAACAAGGTTGTACCGCCCTAAAAGGGTTGCACCACATAATAGGAATGTAACAACTAATAGAATTGTACCGACTAAAAGAGTTGTACCAACTGAAAGGGTTGCACCGACTTAAATGGAGAATGTAATAGTTCCTGAACTTAATAAGTTGGAGATATAAAAAGTTAATTATTTTTTTTCAAAATTTCAATGAATTTTTTTTTTAAAAACCTAAATAATATATATTTACATAGACTATATTACTTTTTTTTTATTTGGTAAAATATAGTTCTGAAATAAAGTTAGGTTATTGTATGTATGTAAGTTATAAGAAAAGGTAAAAACAAATTATTTGATGCATTTTTATATCAGAGAAATAGTAACTATTCAATTTAAAATAAATATAAAGCCCATATATATAATATATATAATGTATATTATACATATATATATACATATATATATATATATTTATATAAGAGAAAAAATATATATAAAATATAAAATAAATATAAAACATATATATAAAATATATATAATATATAATATATATATATATATATATATATATATATATATATATATATATATATATATATATATATATATATATAGTCTATATAGGCCTTGTAGTTATCTGTTAAGTTTAAAATCATGTGTTATTTCATGATAAGAATCACTAGACAAGGACCATATCCTTTAACCTAACAAGTAATCAAGACCTGAATGTTACGCTGAGCAAAGCGAGGCGCGCGGATCGATCCGGTCTCGCTGTGCACAGAGTTGGTATCGAGGCTAGTCACCGAAACCTGTGGTAAGCAGGACCGCGTCTCTTACGTGGCGCGTACTGCAGACCTCGGCGCAGGCAAAAATTTGGGTTACATGTTTGGGGGAATTCTCAACTGCAAAAATGGCCATGACGTGGATTTTGAAAAATAATCAAATTCGCGCATGTCCAAAAATTTGGACACGTAATTTTAGTGGGTATATAAGGGACCTACATGTCTCCCGGGGTCTGAGAAATTATTCAGTTAACTTTTCAACAAAGTTGTATTTTTGGTTTTCATACTAAGAAGTCATCTAAAAAGGTAAAAAAAAATCATACATTTTTTAAAGTTTTTGTTTTTTGTTAGTTAGTTGATGTTTTTAGATTTTTAAAAAAAATGTAGGTCAACATTAGTTAATACAAACCACTTAAACATAATTACTGCTAGTTATATATGTAATGGAAATACAGGTGCATTATTTATTGGCTACTATTATATGACTAGGACAGTGAAGTTTTTCAACATTGTTAACAGCATCATGTGATATTATGGATGATTCTACAAATTATTAATTAATGGATACGTTTAGATTTTAATTGTGGATAATGTATGTAACAGTGGATAGTGTATAGAAAAGTACATATGACTTGTATGTATATGTATGTATGTAGTTATGTAAAATTGTGTATGTATATGACTGTATGTGTTTGAAAGAGAGAGAAAGAAATAGAGAGAAATAGAAACTGAGGAAGCAGGTCCCTCTGTTTCTTTACTTTTCAGGGTAACTACAGATATTTTCTAGTATTAACTCAAAATTTTTTTTTTTTTTAAATTTCATTTTTCAGACCTTAAGCAGCAATGGCCAGATCACAGAAGAATTGTGTTGATTTGAAAGAAATTATAAATGAATGGAAGAATTTGGAGAAGGTGAAAGGTAAGAAATTCTACAGACAGAAATAAAATCTCTCCCCTTGTGTAGGACTTTTGCTTCTGTGATGGGAAAATTTGAACATCCTGACACATATTTGGTCTTATATCAACTGGAGACACACATTATAGCTTCAATTAACCAGAGACGCACATATAGCTTCATTTGACCAGAGAAACACATATAGCTTCAATTATTGAACTTATTAAGGAATTAACAGTTTCTTTGTGTTGGGGGTGGGGTATAATCCATATATAACCTTTCCAACATAGGTGACATACAACTATATGATTCAGCCCAGGCACATAGTGTTAGATTGACCAATAGATGACAGAACTCTTTAGTTAAAGCTCAGACATCAAAAGACACATTTTTTATCATACATTTATTTATTTTTTTTTGCAAAGAAGATATTTTATTTATGCAAGATCATAATTTCGTTGTCTTATGTTTACAGGTGAAGCTAATCTTAGAAACCTGAAACTGTCAGTCACAAACGTCCAGTGGACTAATGTCACGTGTCTGTCTGACCCGGGCAAGACGCAGACAGCAAAGGTAAAGGCCTAGAGTGTGGATAACTGAAATGCCTGACTGTAACTTTAAGTAATTGTGTTAAATCTTGATATTGAAAAGTACCCAAACTGTGTCAGTTTTGATTCGCAAATAATCGACTTGTTGATTCAAGTTTTGAAAATTATCTCTCTTTTTCTCTCACTTCTCCTTTAGGTTTCTGCTGAATATACCAGTGAGCAGAAAGATCGACTTGCCAAGGTCAGTGCAAACTATCCCAACCAGATTGGTACCCACGTGACCATTCAAAAAGGATATGTCAAAGGTAAGCCAGGAGTTATACCCTACCTCCACTGGTCCTCTAGAATGTAAACTATTGTATTTCATGAAATGTATAGACTTGTGTCTCAATTTGAACTGACACAACTAATTCCTATCTGATTCTGTTTGAAGATCTGCACAAGACCTTCACCCTCCCGTTGGCTGGACTACCGAAAGCCATCACAGATGTCCTGGGCTCATCCGTTGAGATTGACGTGGGCACTGCAGAGACCAATGAGCAAAAGATGGAACTGTTTGTCTCGAGTTCCCACAAAATTGACCAAACAGATGGCAAGGCACCCACAGCAGCAGAAGCTACCATTACGTCATCAACCGGAACTTACGTGGGTAAGTTAAAAATTAAAAAAAAATAATAATTAAGAGCTTTAAAATCCAATTGGTCTTTTTATAATTTTAAAATGATCTACTTTGTTAAATGTTTGACTAGATACTATGTTGTTGTTTTTTTAAATATTGATTTAAAATTATTGAATAAAAATATTTTAAGCCTTAAATTAATGCATATGTAACTGTAGCATTCGCAATTTCTATAAAGGTTATGGGCAACCGTTGTATTTTTAAATGTAAGAACTAATATTATCACCATGCTAATGATCGATCTTAAACCCGTTTTGCCCTCTACAGGTCAGTTCTCTGGTAAGGCTGAGCTAAGAGGAGAAGTGATTCTCAATGACAACAAAAGCGTGGAGCAATGCCCCTTCTCAGAGATGGTCACCTGCATCAAGTCAAAGTCCAAAAATGTTGAAACCCTGTGTGTGTCCGATGATGGCTTGACCGTCCACTGGACCATTACGGGAGAGTGTCTGTTCCACCTGGGCACTAAGGCGGCTGTGCAGTGGAGCGAGAGACGCTGAGAACTGCTCGCGCGAAACACGCAACCTTGACATTCCAAATAAACTCAGAAAAATTATTCATGATTGTATATGTAAACGTTAGATGATACATCATGATGTCCTGAATTCAAAACTTTTGTCAAAACCTGATAATGGTACATCATGATGTCCTTAACTCAAAACATTTTTTTTTTAAAATTGATGTTATATTCAGGCAAAATATCAGCTCACTTGATTGACATCTTTTTCTACACTATAGAAACACTAGCTGAGCTAACGTGAAGATGATTTATTTAAAATTGTTTATATTAGATGGTTTGACATGTTAAACTGTGCAAAATTAACACCAAAACAAACGTGTTTTAGCAAAGGTCCCCATATAAAAGGTATTGGGGTAGATCTATCAAAGGTATATGTAAAATTTAGGAATTTGTTATATTTTTTTAAAATTACGTTAGATAACTATTGATTTATTTTAAATTCAAAATATGTTCATATATTTTTTTTTTTAAAGCATATTTGTTTTGAATTGTTATTATTCATTTTTATTCACCAAAGGTATTGACAATATTTCCACAAATGCCCTTAAATTTTCCCAGTAAAAATATTACCATCTAAAATTTATGGCTGAAAACATGTACTGAAGTAAAAAGGTATTTGCTAGACTTAAAAAAAAGGTATTTGTTTGTGTTATGTAATTACCTTTAAATTTTTGGTGATATTATTTTTATACAAGTATGAAGGAAGCGTATTATTAAACTAAATGTTATTAATCATAGATTAAATGTTTGTACTCTAAGATTGAATTGTTGTACTCATAGATTGAATTTTTGTACTCATAAACGAAATGTTTTTACTCATAGATTGAATGTTTGTACTCATAGATTCAATTTTTGTAATCTAAGATTGAATTTTTGTACTCATAGATTGAATTTTTGTACTCATAAACGAAATGTTTGTACTCATAGATTGAATGTTTGTACTTATAGATTAAATGTTTGTACTCATAGATGAAATGTTTGTATTCATAGATTAAATATTTTAATTATATATTAAATATTTGTACTTACAAATTTAATGTTTTTACTCATAAACTAAATGTTAATGTTTGTATTAACAGATTAAATGTCTGTACTCAAATTAAATGTTTTTACTCAAAGATTAAATGTTTTAAATGCTTCTAAAATGAAAAAACCATGCCATCTTGTTGCAACTTGTTTTTCCCTAGGAGATTATTCGTGGCTTTATTCTTCTGTTAGCTACAGTCTCAGCTGTAGCAAATGTCCTACCGTGGCATCGTTAAAATTGTTTATTAATAATTGCGACGACTGTAAATTAAAATTTGTCAAATATCAAAATATAAGGTCGTATAATTTTTTTTTTTTTTTATATTACTTCAAGAAAGAACAAATGAAATTCTTTACCAAGTTTGTTACAAATGTTTGTTTTGATGTTTGTTTTGAGTTTAACGTGTTAAACCTGGATGAAGTTAAAGTTTTGTATTTTTTGTAATTGAATGTAGGATGACTTTTCATGTACCCGGTAGTGAAATTTTTCATACTGTGTTTGCTTCATTAAAAATACTTCCCAAAAATCATTTTTTTTTTATTCTTAGATTCGCCATTTAAATTTATATATTTTTTGAAATCAATATAAAATGTATCATGTTTTATTCATGACTAACGTGAACTGATGTGAATTAAAATTGTATGAAACATTTTATATAAGGTGAATTTTCGATGCATTGTTATCCTTTTAAAGAAATCTCTTCCATGAAACGAAACAATAAATATGAGATATAAAGAAAATCAAAACCAAAATTTCTTTTTTTTTCTCTAATCTTCTAATTTATGTATTTGAAAGTGTGGTTCATTTTGTGGTCTTTTCATCATTATTATTATTATTATAAATTAAGCAGAATTCAAAGGCCAATGAATAAATAAAGTAAAACAACATGTATAATAACTTAAGATGGAGCTTCACCAAATGAATTTTTTTCTTAGCGTTTGGTTATTTTATCTTTAAAATTTGAATTGCAAAGTTTAACTTATATTTGAAAACGATTTTTTTTATTTTTGGTGTTATCTTTTGAAATCAAGTTTTAGAATATTCAAGTAAGATTTTGCAAAATGCAAAAGAGGCTCCTCCACCCAATACTTCCACCCCCCCCCCACACACACACACACAGATGAATTGTAAACAGAAAGAGCAAAAATTAACGTTTCGAAGGTAAAAATAAAAACAAAAAAATTGGGGAAAAACGAGATTACCATTGATGCGGGAAATTCGAACACATAAATTCTATTGGTCATAATCCTTGGAACAAAGTCCAGATGACGACAAATATAACGAAAAATATTATTTTTTATTAACATACGTCGTTGTTCACTAAATAATTTCATTAGTTAAAGGCTAAGAACATTTTCACAACGATGGCTAATTTTCATTGTTTTTTATTTAAACAACGATGCACGCAATGAACCCTATGTAAACAAATATCTTATTTTAAATATTTCCAGCCATATTGTAATTTTTAGCTAAAGAAAAGTAAACACATTTAAGCCAAAAGTGGTTTGTCGTGCTTGACAGTTAATTTTAATTAATAATTAATCAACAAGATGATATAAATAAAACTCATTGGACATTCCAAATCTATTAATAATGACAATATTTCATCGCAGCGCCTTCATAGGGCATTTAAAAATGTGGGACAAAAAACATGTCACATGACCTCATCTTTAAATCATTGGAACAGTTGACATAAAAAGTACCGATTCTATTTTTCAACTTCCATTTTTTAAGGATTTAGGGTATAACCGAATAATTATTTGTAATTTTCGACGTCAAAGTGCTTCTAAAAATAATTAGAACCGAAATCACGTGATCATCCCTTACATCGAGCTTTCATTTTAAAAATGGAACTTTCTGAATGTAATGTTCGGGAATTTTCGAGCAACTATGCGCAGTTCCATGGTGGCCATAGTGATACTCATTACTAATCAAACGCCACGTAATCGAATCTCTTGGGTATAAAAAAGCTTATTCCAAGCGTTAGGTCTTCAGAACTCCCCTAAACAGCTTTGCTACTGACTTGATTGTTGAACAAATCTTGGATTTTCACACAAAAAAAGTCTTAAATAACAAGAAGGTAGGTTCTTATGTGATGAATTCTGTGTATTTCTGAAGAAAAGTGATCAATGTGTATAATCTCTAACTCTAACTAGATTTGGTGTTATTATTGAGGGTGTTCAGAAATTTAACTTTGGTCAAAAAACGTAAAACTTATGTGGACATTACTAACCGAACAGATTGTCAATACTTGTGGTAGTATTTTGAGGATTCTGGAACTCCGAAATGATATGGAAAAAGCTAAGCCGCATATTCTGTGAGACCTCACATAGGTGTCAGCCATGTTTCTTTTCCGGCTACTGGCTTGTTTTTTTATTTGAAAAAGACGAGATTTAAGTTTAGAAAACATCATGGCAGACAATTCTTGACCGAAATCAGCTTAGGGAATTTACGATAAATTAATAAATAAAATAAATTATATATTTCTGATTGATCTGTTTTATAATATAAGATTCGATTCGAGCTTTAAATTCCCGAAGAGCATCATAAAATAACCTAAGGGCAACAACTCTTTAAAACAACTGAATGCCTAGCGTCGACATTCATTGTGATATAAAAGTACAGTGTATGTAACTTTCATACCCTTTAGTGATTTTGCATAAATTTACTTTAACAAAATAAATAATTTCTTTCAGATATTTTTATTTCCTCGTGTAAGGATTAAATGACCGTAAATTCCTGAAAATGTTTATATATTGACCAAAGGGCTACAACCCTTTAAAATCTTGTCTTAAGCGGGCATCTACTTTCTTTGCGGAAGGTTTAAAAAAATTAAATTTCGGGTGTAGGATAATATTTCGAGACACAATTTTTAAAGCAAGACGTATAAGTCGTTCACAATTTTGAATGCGTTTTTAAATGTTATATATTTTTGCTCACACATCAACCGCGCTTTTCAATGAAATAAGTTGTTCATGTTGATCAGTTGAGATAGTATGTTGATCAATTCGGTTTGAATATTGATTAGCTCAGTTTGAATATTGATTTGATCAAATTGAATATTGATAAGTTCAGTTTGAATATTGAATAGTTGAGTTATAATGTAGATTATTTGAGTTAGAATGTTGGGTAGTTCAATTTGAATATTGATTAGCTCAGTTTGAATATTGATTAATTCAGTTTGAATATTGATTAGTTAAGTTATAATGTTGATTATTTGAGTTAGAATGTTGATTAGTTCAGTTTGAATATTGGTTAGCTCAGAATAAATATTGATTATTTGAGTTAGAATGTTGATTAGTTCAGTTTGAATATTGATTAGCTCAGTATGAATATTGATTATTTGAGTTAGAATGTTGATTAGCTCAGTATGAAGATTGATTATTTGAGTTATAATGTTGATTTGTTTAATTTGAATATTGACTAGTTCAGTTTGAATATTGATTAGTTTAGTTTGAATTTTGATGAGTTTAGTTTGAATTTTTATTAGTTTAGTTTGAATTTTGATTAGTTCAGTTTGAACGTTGATCTTATTTCCTTATAAGAAACACCGATGCAATAATCGATTTTAGGAAGAAGCAAGAAGTCAGATCTCTCACCTTTTGAGCTTCCTTTTTGTTTTTGTTGTTGTTAAAATATTTTGAGCATTTTTTTTTTTTTTTGTTGTTGAAATTCGCGTACTAAACCAAGAAGTCCAATCGATTAGTTAAGGGATACAACTTTTAGTAATAATGATGGTGCTGATGTCTTAGAGCAGGGTTATCCGACCTGGAGGGAAGGGGGCTGTTTGCCCAATCAGGGACACGAGGTGAGATTGTAGGGAGTTTGAGGACACGTGAAAAAAAGAAAATTGGGTTCATTAAATTTTAATTCGTGATATAAATTATACTGAAATAAGACAATAAATACACATTTATACCATAATACCATTAGATCAAAGCCATGTAATCCAATTTATTGGGGTATAAAAGTTCATTCCGTAGGTGATATCGTCAGAACTTCACGAAAACAACTTTGCTACTGACTTGAATTTTACCAAATCTTGGTCTAAGAAGGTTTGTTCTAACGATTTCAAAATATCTATAGTTTTGTAGAAGTGATATTAATTTGCATATTCTTTAATTAGATTTTGTTCAATGGTAAAGGTTTTCAGAAATTCAATTTTGGTGAAATAGCGTAACTTTTGAGTGGACATCATGGACGAAACCTGTAAGTCAATCAATACTTGTGGTATTTCGAAAGGAGTTCGAAAGTCCGAAAAGACATGGAAAATATTAAGAGGCATAGTCTGTGAGACTTATCATAAATGACAGCCGTATTTATTTTACGGCAATCTCTTTGCTTAATTATTTATAGAGGTGGCTTTTATTAGAGACCTCTGTGCATTCACTTTTTGTAACGAAAATAGTTTTGTTGACTTTGGATAACTGTCAAGAATCAATAAAGAATAAATTTCAGAATCACATGGAATATATATATATACAATCTAATCATTAATAATAGTGTTTAGTGATCCTCAACACATAGTCAAAATGGACCCAGACACGCAGCGCCACCATTCGCACCCTTCTACCATTAGACTCAAGCTATTCGCATGTCATTTGTGGTCGTTTATTTTAGTTAAACTGAAGAATTAAGTTTACAAACATATAGTCCATTCAATTATTTTTCATTTGATACCCCATTTTGTCTTACAAACCCAACAATAGTATTTTAAATAGTTTTTTTTTTTATCCCAACCTCTCACTTCTGATACCCGGGTACGAATAGCCACTTCGTTTTTAAAATGTTGTATCTTTCATTAAAAAAAAAAACGATGCAGTTAAACCAAGTTATTGTGATTATGTAATAAGACGTTATCATTTGGCAAAATAATATACGCATGTATATATAAGTTGTATTCCAATATCACCATGTAGCCAATCCCTTTACGCGTGCCTGCAGTGATGGCAAATATATCAGTTATGGATCCTTTGACAAATCTTCAAAGGACTCACAGTTGGAGAGGTAAGTTCTCTAAACATTAAACTCTACCAAAAGAAGACCCTTGAAATATTGAAATCACAAGTCTTTATTATAAATAATTATAATTTTTATTATAAGAGATTTAAAGCAATTCAAGGTAATCTTTGTTGTTGATTTTTTTTTTTTTAAATCAAACTATCTTCTACAAATGAATAAAATATCAAACCGAGGTATGTGGCAGCTTGATTTAGAGAATTGCTGAAGAAGGCTTTATGCCGAAACATCCTCATCTGTTTGTCCTGTTCTCTAATTCAAGCGTCCACATACCTCGTTTTGCTATTTTATTCATTTACTAGGCTTGAATGCAATCCTTTCATTAATATCTTCTACAACATGTCTTAAAAGATCAAACTGGATATTATTATAACGTTTAAGTTTTCGAAATGAAGCTCTGCAGATGTGTTGTTTAATTTTAAACGCAAAAAGATCATTTATTATTTTTAGTAGTATACATACCTCTACCCCAGCCCGTCCTAAATGTTGTAAAAAAATAGACGAAATAATATATAATAACATACATTAAAATGTAAATATTACATTAATCGCCATCCCAAATCAATTAAACAATTCATTAGTGAAGTGGCCCAACCACGGGGGGGGGGGGGGGGGGGGGGGGGGGGTGTTAAAAATTT